CCAGAGTTAACAACATTCCTCGTGTTGGTAATCTGATCCACTGGGTTGGTTGGAATATTCAACAATCTTAGATTAAAGAACAACTGCAGGATTCTAATTAGGTTGCTACCAATTGTGTGTTTTTTGTTGTCTTATTGGGTTTAGACGCTTGAAATACATCAAAACCTTTAGTGAAGGGAAAGGTTCCCCTCTTTTCAATGGCAGAAGGCTTCTCGAATATATTCCTATAAGAAGATTTTCTTTCAATCCCATCAATTCAAAACTGTCATAGACTTCATCATAAAAAGTGGAAAAAAATTTCTTTCGACCATGACACCTAAATTTTTTTTTTCCTTGTACAAATAAGTCGATGTCCATCGCTCCCTACCATTTTGTACAAGCTTCAGGAGTTTCTAGCTACTTCTTATTACCTTCGTAGTTGTTTCTATCTTGAGTTGTTGAAAATGAAAATCCCCTACCTTGACAAAGTAATTACATAAGTAGCTATTGAGAAACCTGGGTTAATAACCACCAAACCAAACACCGCACACCGTGTGGTGCATCCACGCTAGTCATTTATATAAAAAGATAAACAATAGAAGTGTTTTCTCATTAATTTGGACTAAGTTTTGGCCGGAGTTGGTCCTGGATTTTTCGGTCATTTTACTCTTTCTTGGCATTGACTTGTTGTTTCAACCTGTCAAGGGAGGTATCGGTAGTATCATAAAAACTGGAGGAGTATATGGTTAAGTGTCCAAAACTCGGGGGGTAAAATATAGTTTGCCCTTTTTTTAATTTGAGCTAATAAATAAAATTTAATGTGCAAGATGATGAATGAGAATCGATCTCTATTCAAGTTTTCAATTTCATGGCAGGCAAACTATTGTAGTTAATTGCTTGATTTTTCTGTGCTTTTTCTTCATCATCGACACTTTCACCATTTAATCGAAACGAAGACCATGATTTTTTCTTTTTTGGTCCTGCCTTTTTGGCATTGGCAAGTGGTGCCTCAGCAAATACAATCTAGTGTACTTAAAGCAATAAACATTTTGGATACATGTCAGCTCCATAATGAAAATTTTCCCTCCAAAGCTTCTCAACACTTCTACGGTACAAAAAAAGGAGCCATATATATTTGACACGTGGCTGCTTCTATGCAGTAGAAAAATTACAACCGCAATAATGTTAAAAAAGTAATTACCGTATGTGGTTATTTTAATTGATTTGAATTTTGAAAAGGGTATTTAAAATAAATCAACTTTCATAAAGATTTTAAATTACAATTTCCCATTATCTTCTCCATTAGTTAATAAAATCAAATTTTTAAAAGTTCAATTTGTTCCGCACAATCGGTAATAATCACTCATATTAACAAAATCCCTCAAATCAAGATTCAATCACTCACTACGAGATTTTCATATTTGATTTTCAAAATAGGAAAAATATCATGATCAACTTTATAATATCATGATGGTGGCTTTTGTCAATCATTGTTCCGTCCGTGATCCGTCATTGCCGTTGAAGTCGCTATTGTTGTTGCCTGTCCGTGTTACTGTCGATCCATCAATAGCCACCATCATCAATAGCGATTCTCCAGTTGCTGCCACTGCTGTCCACCGCTCTGTTCTCTTCCTGTCAATCTCGACCTTCCGATTGTTGCTGCGCTGCTATCGCTGTCCAGGGGTTCGTGCAATTTGGCTGCCGCTGTCACCATCATCATGATCGATTGCTGCTACCATTGTCTGCGTCCTCCAATCAATTGCAGTTGCTACCGATTGCTGCCGTCCGTCACCATCACCAATCACTTGCCGGCGGTTACTGCTGGTTGCCGCCATCGTCTGTAGTTATCACCTCCTCATCGCCGATCACCGATCGCTGTTACTCTATTTTTGGACCGTTGTTCGCCATCGATACGCTCTACTTCCGGCGTTTCCCTCAATTCCGGCGCTCTCTGTTGCCGACGTGCCTCTGCTGCTGCCATTCCAGAGCTTGCCGTCACCGGTTGCATCCAGAGCTCTGCGGCTGAAGTCCAAACCCTTTTCTGGAATACTTCGTCACTGCTACAAAACTTCCGTGACTTCATCAGACCACTTCAACATGCACATGCGCTGATCTCTTAAATTGTTGGTGTTGTAGACGGCCTACACCTACATTCTAGCAGTTTCAGTGATCCAATTCCGAACAACATTTTTCAGGGAAGTTCGAAACTATATTCTTCTGTATATGTTTAGAAGTATCATTTTTATTGCTGCTTGAATGGGGTGATTGGGTTAGTTTGAAGTTTATTTTTGTTGAATTGGTGCTGGAACTTTTAATACTACTAAGCTTAGAAAACGTTCCATTATTTTCTTGATTTGAATGATTTCTTTGCATGATTGGTGATTTGGGTCTGGAGTTCATTTTAACTACTTGTTTTAAGCTTTATTAAAGTTGAGCTTACATGTGTAGTTGCTTTGTGGGGATTAAATTTGAGTAAATTGAATTTAAATTGTGTGGATGCTCTTACTGTACTCACACATTAAGATGTTGGTTTAGCTCCTTGGTTACTTCTTTTTGTGGGAGTAGACTACATTGAGGACAATGTAGAAATTAAATGTGGGGGAGCTCCGATAATCAAATTCAATTTTCAAAAGAATAAAGAATCCAATATGCTCTCTGTTCTTGATTCCTCCTCTCATATTTGGCTCCGACCCCTACACGTTACTGGGTTCATCATCACCGGGGGGGGAGCACAGACGGAGGAATTTCAGGTTCGTGACCCCTACCCTTCTCCTCTTTTGTTGTTTTTATTTTGTAAATGAATGCCATGGATGCTTTGTTCTGTGTGTTTCAAAACCCCCATTTTTATTTCATGATCAAATACCAAAAACATCATCTTTTTCCGTCTTCTTCTTCTTTGTCGGCTCGCACCCTCGATCAATTCGCTATTCTTCTGCTTCTTCTTTGGCTTTTATTGTTTCGTTCGGTTTGCCGATGTTGGCCGTTGATCTTGTTTTTGGCTACTGTTACTGCTGTTTGTTGCTAAAGTTCACTGTCTTCTTTTATTAGTGTTACTGCTGGTGTTGGTTTGTTGTCTGCCCCCGGTTCGGTCGATTTCTCCTCTCAATTACGGTTCTCTTACGACAGTGGAGGACAAAATCAATGATGAGATTGCAACCTTCAAAAAGATAGACTTGATGATTTGGTCGTTCTTCAATATCAAATTGCAACAGTAGAAGATGGTTATTTTATCTTTGGCATTCGATCAATTTCAGAGGGCAAGAATTTTTGGAGTTGAAGAATTTTTGGAATTGGTGAGTGCCTCCAACTATTTCTTTGTCCGACTGCTTTCATAATCACGATTTGTGTGTTTATATGATTGTTTTTTTTTTTCATTTAGATCATTCCTGATTTGGGATTTGGGAATAATGGAGTATATTAATTTTTTTGAGATAATAATTCTCTTTGTCTAGGACTATTGGAGTATACAGCAAACTAACGGGCTATTTTTTAGCATCATGGTTATGGAATCATTCTCTCTTTCTCTCTCTTTTTTTTCTCTGTTAACTCAATCCAAATAAGAAACTTAAATTCTAAATCTACACAGAGTTATATATAGATGTACAATCTGCCGATTTACTACATTTGATGGCAATAATTTGGCTTCAAATCTGGTATTTGAATTTCACATCTAATCCCAAAAAGACTAAACTGCATAAAACATCTCGTACATTTGATCGGACAATCATTTTCATCCCGTGTATTTGAAAATACTCATTTACGTCCCATTTCATCCAAAAAGAGCCATTTTTCAACTATTTGCATCCCAACGTAACTTTCCGTCCATTTGACCGTGAAAATGGAGGGTATTGTTGTCTTTTCGCTCCTCTTCTGGTTTCAAGTATTTACGGAATAAAACAATAATAAAATAATAATAAAATATTTATAAATTTCAAAAAATCAAAAATAAAATTTTCATCACTTTAACTGTGTGGGGTCACAGTAAATGAATTTTTTATTATTTACTACAGTGAACAGTAAAAATAATAAAATATTAAAAATTTTCAAAATGCAAAAAAACTCAAAATTCGAAAAAGAAAGTAAACTGGCTCCATTTACCTTTTTACCCACGATGCTACAGTAAACCCTAAAAGTAAAATAATTTTTTTTTCCTTTACAAAAAAGGGGAACGGCCCCTTTCTCTTCTACCATCGCCGTCTCCGTCTTCCACCATCAACACTTCTTCTCTTCCTACAAACCAACTTAGATCTAGCCATGGCCGCCTCCAGCAGTAGCAACAACGGCAATAATTCGTTTAATTATCGGTTCGATGAACATATCTGCAATGAATGTAGGTCGACATGCACAATTAAGGTATCAAGTAGCAGAAATAATCTGGGGCGACTTTATCACCGTTGCCCATATCACGGTTTTGTAACCTGGGTCGTTCCGATCGGAGATGTTGGGTACGGGTCAAATGATTTAAGAAGAAGGCACGTTGGGCGGGTGGATACAAATTATGAAATTGTTAATGATGGTAATCGCGATGTGGCAAGTGAGGGATGCAATCCCATTTGCAAGTGTAACTGCAAGTGGGCAAATAAAATTCTTGTATTTCTTCATGTTAGCTGTTTGTTATGTATTCTAGTCCTTCTTCTGGTTTTAGCAAGTAAGTGATAGTGTATTTTGAGTGCATTTTGCTTCTCCATGTCAATCATAATGTATCGTAGTGGAATGTCGATCTGTGAGGGAACTTTGTTTTGTGTTTGGTTGTGCCAAGTTTGGAACTGAATGAGTAATTTGTGCAACTATTTTCATCCCCTATTTTCTATTGAAAAGTTTTTTCGTCCCTTACATTTGTGTGGAAACTTTTTCGTCCCACGTTACGTGGTCAAACACCAAATACTGTTTAGTCAATACAAACCCTATAAAATATGGTCCCACTCTTGTTGGGTAACATAAAATAGTAAGGTAAGGTCAATAAGTAGTGCATTTCCAGATCTGTCAAAAAGAAACCAGAAAAAAACATAAGGGTTACTGCAATGGCTCTCCCAAATCTGCCTTCTGGTCCACGTCCAAAAGACCAGAATGATGATTTCCTTCCTGTATACTGTAAGTATGATTATAATTATACTCAATCTAGGATATGTTTCTGCATTAATAGCATTTTTTTAATGTTGTATAATCAGTTAGCAGTAACAGTTTTGGGAGCATTCAAATGTACTATGGTGGGTGTCTGTATGAAAGCCCTATCCAGTTTATCATGGTGGTGAATTTAGGATGTTCGATAATGTGGATCTTGAAACCATTTCCATTCTTCAATTAAATGAGATGGCACGGAAGATTGGGCTTGTCAGATCTGTTTCATTCTACTCTATTAGTGAGGTTAATGGAGTGGAGAAGATAGGGGAAGATCGAGCATTTTGCCTCATGTGTGTTGAGGCTTTGGATGGCAATAGATTAGTTGTGGTTTATGCACTTGATGAAGATGAAGAACGATGTTTTGCTAGAAATGATTCATTCACGCATGGTGACCCTGATGATAGTGATGATGAAGATGACTTCCATGGAGTTTTGGAAGAGTATGAGTGTGAATCTTCAGAATTTGAATGTTATTGTTAGATTCCTAACCCACAGCAATTGATTAGGGCCTTAGCCTATGCATGGGTTTGTAAGGAAGCCAAGGATTGATTTCTTGTGTACTTCAAATCCTCTTTAATAATGGCTTCAAAGTTGTAATCCTTTATCTTTTGTTGCATTTGTGTAAAATTTTGTATTTCGCTACAAATATGAACAAAACAGTTCAACGAAGTTGAGTATTTCTACTTTGTTTTGCAATTTAGCGTACGAAAAATCCCGACTTGCATTATTTATAGCACAAAAAATAGTTAAGGATTTAGATATATAGGACAACAATACTTAAGGGTTTTGATGTTTAGGACAAAATTAGACAAGGATTTAGATACATAGGACTAAAATAGTTGAAGGTCTTGATGTACATGACATAAATAGTACAAGATTTTGATGTTTAGTACCAAAATAGCCAAAGATTAGATACATAGGACCAAAATAGTTGAAGGTCTTGACGTATAGGACATAAATAGTACATGATTTTGATGTTTCGTACCAAAATAGTTAAGGATTTAGATACATAGGACAAAAACAGTTAAAGGTTTTTAAAATCCCGATTTTAATAAAATCTATGATTATATGACTTTAATGTATCGATTCTAAGTCTACTAGGATCTTAATCCGGGTTAGAATCTTAAAAATCACAAATTACTGATGAAATAAAAAAAAAAACTACAAATCTACAATACCATCACTTTTAGTCTTTCACGGTTTTATTTACTCCCTGTCGGGAAAAAAAAAAAGAAAAAAAAACATCATTTCCTCCTCTGAAAAATTGCCAACAATCCATACTTTAAACCAAAAGCTTAACAATCCAAGCTAAACAATCCATACTTTAAACCAAAAGCTTAACAATCGAAGCTTAACTATCCATACTTTAAACGAAAAGCTTAACTATCCAAGCTTAACTATCCAACCAAACTACTAAAAGCTTAACAATCCATCAGCTTTAAACCAAAAGCTTAACAATCCAAGCTTAACTATCCAACCAAACTACCAAAATACATCAATATGAAGAACAAAAGCCTAATACAACAGTGCCCTAATCTGCTTTGGGTGGGATTGTTGGATCTTCCGAATCCTGATTACCAACTGCATCTTCTGTGGGTGGCATATTTTCATTTGGTTCTTCTCCATACATATCAGCAACGGTGCTTGTAAATGTTGTCCGATAATGTCCAGTTTGCTTGCACAATTGACATTGAACAGTCCTTTTTGCCTAGAAATTTAACATTATCAATTTAGAGAGAAAAGAAAAAAAGATCAAGTAAATGAACAACATCTTGTACATGTTGAAAAACAATGTACCTTCTTTTTAGGCTGGCTCTTGGTATTGGGTATCTTCTTCCTCTTCTCTTCCTTAGTCTTCTTTCTAGACTTTGGAGGTCGTCCAACTAGAATACTTTTGTCAGGAGGCATAATATATGGTTTCTTCGTCTTTTTTCCACATTTCTTCACCATTTGTGGGATAAATGACGTACTTGTAAGCAGTTTCATAAGCAGCCTTCGAGTAATAATTGTGCACATAAGCTTCAACGGGCTCCTTAGTATGACCGATTGCTGCAATTGCGTGATGGCAAGGTATGCCTGTCAACATACACCTTCTGCACGAGCAAGTTCTAGCCCTTAGATCCACTGTGAACTATTCACCACTCTTAGTACTTACTTGATAATTCCATTCTCCAGCATCCACTGCCCAGCACTCACCTGTTCTCTCCTTTAATTTTTCCAGCTTCTTCCTTATTTTTGGGCTGACAACATCAACCAGTTTAGCAGCAGCTTCCCTCTTCTGACGATGTCTCTCCATAAGATACAAAAAAATCCATTTTAGCAAGGCCAGTAAGGCCTTTTTCCTAGCAGGAAGCAATACCTTGTTTATGCACTCGGAGATATTGTTCACCAAAACGTCACACTTCACATGATACTTGACATGTGACCTTGTGTGTTGCTCCTTAACCCATCGATAGCCTGGGGCTCTAGAACTCTCAATTGCTTGATGATGGTCTTGTACCTTCCAGGATAAGTTGCTCTAGCTGCAGCCCACAACAAGTCTTTCAACGTTGGGCTTCCAAATGCCGTTTTGAAATTGTTGTGCATATGCCACACACACATTCTGTGCTTAGCATCGAGAAGGCATGTTTTTACTGCCTTAATCAATCCTTACAACAAAGGAAATGATTAGTAAACCTAAAACCCCAAAACAGTACATTAGCAAATGCATACAAACAATACACAGGTCCTAAACCTAAAACCCCAAAACAGTACATTAGCAAATGCATACAACAATACACAGGTCCTAAACCTAAAACCCTTTAAAAAATAATTGAAAAAACACACATTTTGCTTGTCACTAATAATCGTCTATTTGCTTGGATCCTTGATGTCCAAATCAATTTGGAGGTTCCTTACAAACCAAGTCCAGGTGTATGTGTTCTCAGTCAACACCACAGCATATCAATAGGGTATGTCTGGTCATTCGAGTCAATTCCAATTGCAGTCAGCAAAATGCCCTTGGTAGGTCCCTTCAAGTGGCATCCATCAAGGCCAACGATTGGCCTACAGGCTTCTTTGTAACCCCTTTTAGACGCGTCCAGGCATATATAAATGCCTTTGAATTTTTTAGTACCATCTGGCGGCTCTTCCGTATCCAAATCAATTGTAGAGCCTGGGTTTGTTCTCAGCAACTCAGCTTTATAATCGTAAAGTCTTTTGTACTGACTTACAACATTACCTTCAATCATTTCAATTGCTAAATTCTTCACTCTTTCTGCCTTGCCCCTGTGAACATACATAGTCATCTTCGTATTAAGTTTCTCCTGCAGTTGAGTCACTGTTGTCTAGGGAGATATACCAATATCCTCCATGAACAGCCTTGCAAGATACTTTGAACTAGCACACCCATGGTTGTGATCCCTACCACCACAAATGTGTTTCCTGTTAAGGCGGGAAACATTCCAGTAACACTTTTTCGGCCTGTTATGAATGATGACATGCCAGTTGCAATTACGTTCAGCACCTCTACACACTGCGTGGCACCTGACTTTATCATCCTTCTTGAAACGTATTTGTTTCCCAGCTTCACACCTTGATGCTTGCACAAATCTTTGAACTCCTCCTTCGTAGAAAATCTCATCCCAATTTCCCACTTTGGGTTATCATAATCTGTATTTTTGTCGTACCTTCTAAACATTGGTCTTCGTGTTCCATCAGATTCACACTCAGTTTCTTCACCACTGAGAAGTTCTTCGGACTCACCAGAACTCTCCAACTCTTCATCATATGCAACAAATTTAGGTTGTAGTTTGAACTCAGGTTCCTTTAAAATCTCATCCCAAACTTTTGCCCTCTCTTTAATGATAATTTTTTCCTCTTTTGTATCCAAGTCATAGTCATTGTCGTGGAATTCAGCATTTCCATTTGGCTCTACCTCTTTTGCCCTGATCTTCTCCAGCATTTCAGCAAGGGTGTCATCATCAGAATTATACTATGTACATGTTCTGACCACTTTCTTCATATTCTTCTTTTTCTTCCCTTTTCCCTTTCCTCCTTCACTGTTGCAGTCTTTTACTGAACCAGTTGCTGTCTGCACTGCTTCTTCAGAACCACTGGTGTTGCGTTGTTTTTTGAACAAGTGTTGGCCTCAGCTGCTACTTCAAGTCCTTCACTGTTGCACTCTTTATCTGAACCAGGTTCTGCCTACTCTACTGGTGTTGCATCATCTTCACTGTTGTATGTTTTTTCTAAAAAAATGATCACCTCAACCGTTTTTTCATCACCGGCAGACTTGGACTCTTTGTCTGATCCAATTTCTTCATCATCTCCTTCTTTATCACAACCAGCACCCGCACCAGTATTTTCCTTATCTGTTCTCCTCATAATTTGTACATCTGGTCCTTCATCACAATCTCTACTCTCCAGAATCTGTACATCAGGACCAGAACCAATACTGTTCTTCTTTTTTGCACTCAGTTTCTTGTTTTCCTTCGTCTTAACAACAACCATCTTTTGTCTTGGTTTTGGCAATGGACCATTTAGAAGCTTATTTACCATACGTGGGGTGAGAACTTCCCTTGTAAGCTGACTATCAATCGGGTCATCTTCATCATCAGAAAGTTCACCGTCTTCATTTGGGTGCACCACAAACAGATCAACCAAACCATGCTCTAATCCAATTGCAGCCATGGTATTTGCAGAATCATTGGAAGACAACAGTGCCAATCCGTCGTCCATGTCCTTTCCATGTTCCAGGAAATAATAACTTAGGTCACCAGGAATTTTCATATCCTCATAAAGAAATGCATCCGCTTATATTTTCGACCAATAATCTGCATTGCATGTCTGCATGGCGGTGACATATCCACTTATGTACAATCTTCCAGGTGACTTGGTTAGAAATCCATTATAATGGACCCGCACAGTGAAGAAACCATCTGCACAAAACCCACACAAATGTCAGCAACTATTTTGGTCCAATACTTTTTAGCAGCAACTATTTTTTTCCTATACATTTTTGCAGCAACTATTATGGTCTTATACAAATTCAGTAGAAACTATTTTAGTTTTATTCAATTATTGAATCCATTTTGGCACTGCACTTTCATCAATGCACGAATAAGACAAATTGACAGTACACATCAACCTAAATGCACAAGTTCAAAGACAGAAAAAAAAAAAAGAAAGTGTATTCACAATCCATTGACCTGCTGTAATTTAATAATCGATTTCCCTTCTCCAACAACTAAAAGAACAAAAAAATATTTCAACCTGCATCTGCGGCATGAAGTTCGACAACGACTAAAAATTACATAAGGAAGATGCTTTTGTGAAGAAAACAATGAAACAGTCATGTCCCACTAAAATCCCTTTTAAGTTTCAGACAAGGACCCATATAATAAACAGAGCTACCACAAAGTTCCAACTTTTAATCTATTCATGCGACCAAAACAGGACCCATACAATAAACAACTCTTCTGCTTCTCTTTCGACAGACA